ATAAAACCGAACTAAAAGGGTTGTGGATGATGATTCTCCGCACCCAGGATTTGGCGATTAGGTTCCCTAAAACTTTAGTCGTTCTTTAAAAAGGGAAGTATATAAGGTATTTCTCCCACTTCCCTAGCGTGCCTTCGTGGTGTAACGGTAGCACGCTGGGCCAGTATTCCAGAGGTCCATGGTTCGATTCCCGGCGAAGGCAGTTGCATATTTTTCATCTTTTCTGCTTCCGAAAATCCTAATGACTCTACAGATTAAATTAAAATTAAATTATATTATCTTTGACCATAGTCCACGTTTTTAGTCTGAATTTGATTTTTCTTGTTTAATTATTTCACCGTGACCTGTAATTGACTTTGGTAGCATCAGAACATGCCTTTATGTTCTAAGTTCTTTGTCTGATATTGTAGTTACTTTCAGATACAGTGATAATTTACTTCACGTCTATCGGGGGTAGGCTGGGATTATTTAACTTTTACCAAGTCAAGTAAACCCTCATAGGTACATTGTGGAGAGGTTGACAAGTTAGGAGATAAAGCACACAGAAACTAGCGAGAACATTGGTTTGCATATTGAGACAAATTTCTAATTATTGTCAAAAAAGATCGATAATTAAAGAGAAGGAAATCGATATAAACTATGTTTGGGAAGGTTTGTAGAGACATATGTATTTTTGAAAGCAGGAAAGATTTAAAAATTAACAACGCTTCGCCGGGAATCGAACAGCGAATCTCTGGAATACCGCTACTAGTGTGCAAACCACTACACCACGAAGGGTCGCCAAGAAGGTGGGAGAAATACCTTATATACTCCCCCTTTTAAAGGGTGACTGGGGATTTTAGGGGATCCAATCGCCAAATCCTCTGTGTGGAGAACCATCATCCAACACCCATCAAGTAAAACTTATTCTTTGCATCTACTGAGACTTATAATATATATGAAACAACTTATCACCTCTGGTGCTTTAATGGCTTATTGGAACCTTAAAGTATATATTAACTGGGTTACAACTGCTGGAACTCTACACAAAGCTATGACATTAACTGCATTAAGCAGAGCTTGACTAACTTTCAACGCTTGCCAACCGTGCCTACATCAGGCCTTTCAGATTTGTTCCAATCAGCAGGTCTCTCTATAGACAAGCAGCAGAGGGACATGTTATGAATCATGCTTGATTATGATCTCACTTCTCATTTTAACCTATGCCGTTTCACATAAAATCTCCTTACTATTTGCTAAACCTCTAGACTGACCAAGTATGTGACAAAATGAAACATTAAAAAAAAAAAAAAAAAAAAAAAAAAAAAAAAAAAAAATTCAGCATAAAGCTAACTATTAGTAAAACGTAAATGTCACTTATCTTCTTTTAAATATGTCCAACTATTATAAGTGTAAAATATTTAATGCTACTTGATAAACTGCATTAAGTTTATTTTATTCTCAAACTTATTAATAATTATGTTAGTTAATTCATGTTTAATAATAATGCATACTACTTAAGGATCTATTTTATTTTTAGGATGGTATTACAAAAGTGAAATTCAGGCATAGAATAATATTTTTAATTGAATTTATTCAGTTTCCATTTGCTCATAGGTCCTTAATTTTTTTCATTAATGGTCCTTAATCTGTTAACTGGGTATGACGAAATTTTTCGTCATGCTGGGAAGAATATTTCAATGGGCATGACGAAATTTTTCTGGCATTTTTTTGCAATCTGTCACTTGACCGTTGTTCAAGAAAAATCGATCAATGGAAACACTTGTCCGCTCATAAATTGTTATAACACTCCTAATTTGCACAACTTAATTTCATTTTAGGGCTGCATTTCAGTATTTTACATATTAGTAACAACTTGTAGATTTGAGTAATTGTTAGTTTTTTATAAATATGGCTAAAAATTATTGTGAAGCAAATATTTTTGAATTGTCTGAAAGTGACGATGAAATATTGCCCGGAGGTTTGGTAAACGACGTCGAATTCTAAGAATAAGTACCAGTTCGCAAGAAAGCGATAACGAACTTCTTTCCTGATGGTCCGGACATTGAATCAAAGGATGATGATGTTATAGACCAAAATACTCAACCCACATCAGCCGAATGGAAATGTGAAAGAATACTGCGATCGCCTTTCCCGTTTTTATCTCAATCTAGAACTTACATTTGAAGGACCTGAAGAAAAGGATTGCCTTTTTATTTTGAGAAATTTATCGAATGAGAATTTTGTAGAACTTATTGTGGGAACAATCAAACAAATACGCTGGACAGTTTTTTGAAAAAAATAATTTCATGAAACTGCGTTCAAGATGTCTCTCGTGGGTTGACACAGATGACCGAGAGATGAGAGTATTTATTTTTTTTAATAATTTTGCAAGGAATAATAGGAAAACCTTCTTATCAGCTTTATTTCACAAAGCGAGAAAGTCTGGAGACTCCATTTTTTTATAAAACTATCAGAAAACTTTCAGATTTAAAAAAAAAAGTCTCTTTCATAGGTAGTCAGAAAAGTCATAGTCAGAAAAAAGACTTTCATAGTCAGAAACTTTCATAGTCAGAAAAAAGAGTCTCTTTTGCTATGAAAAGGAAGACTGTCTTGAAAACAGTACATTCCATCGAAAAGAAGTCGATTTGGTGTTAAATTGTATAAGATATGTGAAAGTAAATCCGGATACATAAGTGGTGTCATTATATATACAAGGTAAAGACACGTGCTGTATGGTTCGAACTATCCAGAAGAACAGGGACCAAATCGTATTGTTCTTGAATTGTGACACGATTTGTTGGATAAGGGATATACGCTATATCTCGATAATTGGTATACTGGTACTGATCTAGCTGAGAAGATGTGCAGAAGAAAAACCTGATGTTGTAGGAACAATGCGAAAAAATAGAAAGGGAATACCATCTGATAATCAAAAAATTGTGTTTTGAAAAAAGATTAATACATTGCTAGGTACAGAGACAAAATAATGATTATGAAGTGGAAAGACAAAAAGGATGTTAATTATATTGAGTACTATCCACGAACAATAAGTTTGTAGAAATAGAAAAACGAAGGAAACCGATATCAAAACCGGAAGTTATCTCTGACTACAACAAAAATATGGGAGGAGTTGATCTTGCTGATGGACAAATGAAAACTTATGAAATCGCTAGAAACCAAGTAAAAAAGTATTACTATAAGATATTTTTACATGCACTAGACATGGTGTGTTTGAATGCATATCTTTTGTACAAGAAAGATAGCCGTCACCTAGATAGGCTTCATTTCCGTATCGAAACTGTAGAAAAAGGTGTTGAAAAATATAGAGACGGATCGCAGTTGCCATCTACTAGTACAGGACGATCATCTTTGACACCAAAACCATCTCGACTCTTTTGAAAGACATTTTGCAGACTATATACCATCCGACTCCTTCAAGAGTTAATGTAACGAGGAGATGCAAATTATGCTATTCCAAAGGTCTTAGGAAAAGAATCGAGATTTTGGTGTATCCCGACTGCAGTGTTGCTTTGTGTATGCCGCATTACCTTTAGGGAATATCATACGAAATAATTGTTTAAATTCATTCAATTAATTTGTTTTTATCCAGATTAAAAATGTTTAATTTTAATATTTAATATCATTAAATATTTTAAAACGATTTTCTTTTATTTATTCCTTGCGATGTGCTGAAATTACTGCAAAGGAAAAAGTCCCCATCGTGAACGATTTTACTGAAAGCTTATTCCCCAGTTAACAGGTTAAAAGTCCTTAAAAGTACTTAATTTCCGTGTGCAGAAATGTGTACGAACCCTGTAAAATATAATTTGACCAATTCATGTGAGAAATTTCATGACATTTTATTAAATGATCCAAGTCTATTGCAAAGTATTCACTCGGATAAAACATATGACCATGAAAGAAAATCATAATTTTTTTAAATAAAATATTAAATTAATTAAAAATAATAATATTCAAATTATTGTTTTTACAAATATTTTTATAGTTTTATGTTACCAATAGTTAATAATAAATATATTTTTGTATATTTATAGACAAGTATATGAATGTATGTAATAAAACACATTTTTTTGAATTATTGGTCTGCTTTAGTAACTAAATTATAATTCTCATTTCATTCCATTTGTCCCGCTTTGTCTCAATGAAAATGTGGTCACTTTAAACAAAGGAATAGGTCAAATAAATTGACATTACAGAAAAAAGAGTGTACTTTTTTGTGTTTGATGTATTGTATTACCCTTTTGCACATTATTGTGGATTTTGTCGTTTATTTTTGCAAGTAAAAAAGTAGCAATTTTATGCATGCATTGCAAATTATTTCATAATGTTTTATATTCAAACACTGAAAGTTTAAATTAAATATAATAAAAGTTTAAAGAGATGTAAACTCATTTATGAGTGAATGATAAACACCCTGTTAAAAAAAATATGTTGCCCTTAGGGTAAGTTAGGAGAAAAACATCCAGTTTTTAATGCATTGCCACTGATGTGGCAATTTAGACAACAAAAGTTGGATTACTATACGTTGAAACTTTTCAGAAAAATTCATGGCATGTTACTTTATGAAGTTTAAATTGTGCAAATTTCATCCCCCTCCCCCTAGGGATCTTCAGCATAGTTTCTCTCATTAAACTGTATTTGATTTGAATTTTGTTCATCTATTGTAGACATTTACAGTACATTTTATGAAGGTTATGCCATGGTTGAATCATTAAATATTGTATTCAGTTTTGATTAAGTTGCTAAAAAATTTTATTAGAATAATGTGAATTAAATATGTAGGAATGATTTAAGATTTTCCATTTTCTCTAGTTCATATTTCAGAATTCACAGAAATGGAATAATCGAGAGCTGAAAGTTCATTCTGAATATCTTTAAATCCTTATTGTTAGATTAAAATTATTTTTAAAGATTTCCTCTTATTGATTTAATTCTTGAAATATGCTCAAAAATATCTAAAATTTGCCTAATAACTTTCACATTTAATTGTATTTTAGATCAATTTATCACAAATAGAGGAAGAAAAAAATAATTTCAAAGAATTAAATGATGTCCTTTTGGACCAGAGAGAAGCATGGAACAAAGAACAAAATGAATATCAGAAAACTAAATTAACATTACAGGAGAAAATAAAAGCAGCTGAAGAATTAGAAGCAAGACTTCAGGAGAAGATAAACAAATATGACAGTCGTCTTGCAGTAATGGAACGAGAGCATCAAGAAGAAATTTCAAAATTGCAGTTGCAAATATTTGGGCTAACAAAATCTGGGTGTCATAAGGAAAATAAGGTATGTAGTCCAAGGTTAAGTTTAAATTTTATATGTGCATATATATACAATGTTGGATTCTATTATTAAAATTATTTTATGCAATTTTTCAAGTCAATTTGTTGAGATTTAAGATGAATTAAGACTTGTAAATGCTCTTCATGATATTTGATTCGCTCAATTTAAATTTACACTCATGTCCATAAATTAAGGATAATGCAAAACTGCATTCCTGACTGCATTCAAGCAACTGTGAAGAACCCAGTTAGTGTTATGATTTGGTCATGCATGTCAGCAGATGGTATTGGTCGCCTTCATGTCATCAATGGGACACTGAATGCCAGAAAATACATTGGCGCTATTCTAGAACCAAAACTTCTACCTTCCATCAGAGATCTCTTTTCCAATAATGCTTCGTTTATTTTTCAGCAGGATTCTGCTCCTTGCCACACGGCCAAAATATCGAAAGAGTGGTTTCGTACAAAGAGCATTAAATTGTTGTCATGGCCAGGAAACAGTCCTGACCTCAATCCTATCGAAAATTTTGGCTCCGTTTCAAAAAACTCTTGTCCGAATGAGGCGCCCCATCAAAAAATAGGGAACTAATTGAGGCTATAATTATTTCCTGGCATCATGTAATAATGAAAGAAGAGCTTAAATCTTGTCAGCTCAATGAAACGTCAATGTGAAGCTGTAATCAAAAATAAAGGGTACCATACTAAGTATGATAACTCACTGCAATCATCACTATCTAATGTATATCGAAACTATTTGTTTAACTTTTTGTACTGCAATACAGTAAAATACTGTCAAAAAGTCACATTATGGGTGTCCAAATTAACGACTTTTGACTGTATTTGCAGATTGCAAATACAGTCAAAAGTCGTTAGAGCGCGTAAGACCTTTGCGGCTGCTAATATGTTTGTGCGCATGCGCGTTTAATGTGTAACGGAGGTATAAGCTGAGCTAAAATTATCTAATTCAATTAATGTTGCAGATTGCGTTGTTCCTTAATCTTCGAATTGGATCCGGCTTATTATTTTTTGCAGACTATTAGAGCAATTTCATAAAAGTAAGCTTGAACTTTCGATTATGTCAAATAGAATTCCGATATATATTTACTAATATGTAATTTGTATCTACAAAGCGAAAGTATGTTTTGAAATCCGTAATTGTTTATCAATTTCACGCCGCGGATTGGAAGTTGATCTGTCAGCCTATCCTTATCTTCAGAGCAAATGTTTTTATTTATTTGCTTATAATTCCTTACTAAGTGTAGTATTTCATCTCGATGTACTCCGTGTTTGATATGATTTAAATCAAGTTCCTCGTCATTATAATTCGTTCCGATAGTGAAGAAAGTGACCCAGAGGTTATTGAAAACGAAAACATTTCGATTGACAATTTAGTCGGTATTCTCAACACAGCAATTATAGGACTTGAACAGCGGAACTTTGTAACTAAACAAAGAAATTATGTCTGTTTAATAGAATTATAGAGAAAGTATTATCACATGAACGAAGCAAACTTCATTGAAGGAAATGTTTAATAAAGTAAACAAATAAATATTAAGCTTTTTCTGTTTGTAAATTTTGATACCCTTTAGATCATAATTGTTCTTATTTCATAAATTACGGTTTCATATTTTTAATTTTGTAATTTCTGCATGCCATCTTACCAGATTTAAATTGATGATCTATAATCCGGAAAAATCGATAATCCGGAATCGCCGAAGTCCTGACGAGTCCGGATTAACGACTTTTGACTGTAATTGAATTTTGTGTTTTGTATTGAATTCAGTAATAAATTCTCTTTAAAATGATATATACAAGTTTGCATTTTGTGAAACGTAATGTTTTCTATAAGCATACAATGTTAAAAAACATAAAAATTTCCAAAAGTGTCCACAATTTTGGTCACTACTGTGTATTGAAATGGTAGAAACTTAAATATTCATTTTATGATTTATGCAGTTTCAAATATCTGTGTTTATATTTTAGTTCATAATGTATCTAAATTGTACATTAAAAAAAAATATTTAAAAAAAAGGGGGGAAATTAAAAATGAGGGAAAAAATAAAACAAAACAAAAAAACGTACAAGGATTCAGATTTCATTGTTGCACCAAAGGATTTAGTAAATTTTTCTTTTATGCTATTGCAGAGCTTGCAGTTCATTTACTCACTTTTTTTGGGGGGGGGGTCTTTATAACTTTATTATAAAACATCACTTTATTTCCACTTATACCATATAAAATGCAAGAGCAGAATCACAAAATTTTTATAGCAGAGTATTTTTAGAATTCCCAATAGAGTTAATTGGTATCATCCTTCTTTTTTTTAGGGGGGGGAAGAGAAAGGCTATTATTCTCAAACCTTACTTTTGCTCTCCATTTCACTTTTCAAATAATGAATGTTTAAAATAGTTGCTATTAAAAAGAAGGAAATATATGCTTTTACTTAATTCAACCAGGGTTATTTCACGGGCCCAGCTGATAAGTAATAAAAGAAATAAAGAACTACGTTTTTTGCTTTTAAATCGCTTAGTTTGTCAATCAGTAACAGGTAGATTAAACTAAAAATAAAAATTAAATATCCTACATTATACCAAATAGCAAAAACTAGCACATGGATGATAAAAATATTTTATAGGAGATAGCTTTTAGATCTGGTAAAGTTTATAATGTTGCGGTACACTTTTTTCTTATATATTCTCTATATTATTTCTTTAAAAATAATACATGGTGGCAACATTTGAAAAGTGATATAGACAAAAAGGTGAGATTTGCATGCTCAAAGAGTGTTTCCTTATAAATTAGAATGTGAATTTTTGAGGTTTTCTTGAACTAAACTCACAGAATTCCTCTGTTGAATACCTAGAGAATCCTCATATTTATTGTGTATTTTTATGAATATTAGTTTTTCATTAGATGATTACTTTTGAATCTATTGCAAGAATTTTAATGGATTTAAAGGCGTGCATTGGCTGATCCGACTCTTGTATTTAAATGAAGCAGCATGAAACAGCATTAAGTATAAAAATATAATTTATTTCACTCACAGAAACAAAATTCGTACCAGCAGCACCTACCAAAGAGATTCTGGACATAAAACATAACATTTAATGTGCACTTCTTGCTGATTGACTGATGCCGTGCATGTCTTGTTGGTATGGATGAAATGCTGCAGAGTGTGCCCCAGTTAGGATTACAAATAATAAATATTCACAATATATACAGAAAATGATGATATGACACAAAATTAGGAAGGAATTATACAGGAAATGAAGTGCAATGTAATAAAGATATATACATAGCCTTTGATGCAGTAGAAACATCTGCATAATACAAAATGTTAAATATACTGCAAGTCTGTACTCAAACAGTGTAGTCTGGAACTAAATGCTTGGGAAATTGGAACTTACGCCAACTCTTAGTGGTAGACATTTGATTGAAACATCATGGGGAGTGAGCTGAAACCTGAAGATGTAAAGACAGAAGATGAGTAATGTCATCTGGAAGGTGGTAAGCAGGTTTTACATGATCAATTGAAACTGTACTAGATTTCCATTCAGATCAATAATAAAATTCTTATAATTTCTTTCAATGACTAAATGAGGTCCAGAATTCTCTACATATACACATTCAATATAAATAAGTTTGTTCATTGCAAGGAATGTAAACAAATATGTGCCAAGGTGCATTTAAGCTGAAGATCATTGTTAGAAATGTTATTAATCGTTTTTTAAACATGCTAGCCATATACACTAAAAATTAATCAAAAAAGACAAAACTGCAGATTCGTGATAGTGTTCATTATAAACAGCAGAGTGTCAATGCATCTACAGAAAATGCTAAATAAGCTCAATAATAAAAAATTTGCTTCTCTATTTAAAAAAATTGGATTATAAATTGTGTGTATTTTTATTAAAAAGTTTATCAATATATTTATATAAGAGAAGTTGCTGTTAAATTTAATATGCTGAATTTTCTGAAAATTGAATTTTTATACTTCTCCATCTAAAAATTACAGGCATTTATAATTTTAAGCAGTTGCATAATAATTCATAATTTTAAGCATTGCATATATTACTAAAATTCTACTGTATATAAAGTATTCTGTTACTTAGTGTTTCTGTTTTGGTTATTAGGCAGGAGAGATGGTCCCCACAGAAAGGTCTCTTAAGACACGAAATATACTGAAATGTCTTAAACAAACAGGTAGGCATTGATTTTTATTTTGTAGAATGTATCATTTCTTTACATATTAATGTTAATTCTTCAATTAATTTTGTTTATTTTTGCTTTAAGTCTGTCTTATTTGTACACAAGTGCTCCCCTTTTGTAGAAACTGTACCTTTATTTTCTCTCAGTTTAGTTTTATTATATGATTAACTGCCTATATAACCATATTTTAATTACATGTTAGGTATAAATGTTATGCTATATATTCAAGAACTCTATGTTAATACTGATTTAAATATAAAACAAATTTTGTCAAATCTTGTATCTATACATTTTTAGATATTTCGTAATTGTGTTGATAAATGAATTTAATGAAATATTGCTAATATTAAAATGCCAGAAATATCACTGGTTACTAATACACAAATCAATTAAAACAATAGATATAATGGTGATGAGAAGCATAATAGTTGTACCTCCACTTAAATACCCAAAACAAATGCAAGCAACATGCGAGGCAAACATGTAGTCACATTTGAAGAAAGAGTAAATATAGCTAATTTTGATACTAGACACATTTTACTAATAAACAGAATATAAGCCATTCTAGCACTGACATATCAACAACCTTAGGGTTCTCAGGAGCAACCATATCTAGTGTATTGCAATCTCATGCAGGTACCAGTGACTAGGAAAGAAATGACATAGCAGAAATTGAAGTCACCAGTTTTCATCTCAAAGCAGAAATATCACCAGAGAAGAATTTCTAAGCACAAGAAGAAAAACTGACTTTAATCTAGATAATTCAGTGTTAATTTCTTTTAATTTGGAATATTACTGTCTTCTTTCTGGGCAGATGTGACCACAAAAGATAAAAATATGGATATTCATAGAATGGGTTACACAAAGCATGTGTAACAATGGTTACAGCTAATGGGTGGTTAAATATTTAGAAAGATAAAATACATAAGTAAGGAAGATTTTTGGAAACTTACTCAGAAAAAACAATTTGAGAAGCACATTGTTCAAAATGTATCCCAGTGTCAAAAAAGGTAGCATTTATATCTACTCTTGTTTTGGATCTATATACTTATATGAATCAGCTTTTCACATTTAATGTTCACGATTCATGCTTCTCTGCTTACCAATTTCCATATAGAAGATTCATTACCATAATCTTTGTCTGAATATACCAGATTATGAACATTTGGTTGCAGACTTGCCATTAATGATAATAAAGTAATTTGCATATATTCTTACAACTTTTGGTAAGTTCATAATAATATTCTACAGTAGTCAGTCAGATACTGTTTCTGATTGCCAGGCTGATTCTATTAGAGATTCTGAAAGTCGTTTTGATATGGGACACATTAGGTTTCTTAGTATACCTAAAAAGTTTTTTTAATTGCTAACCAGGTATTTATCAATTTGTCATTTGTTTCGGCTGGATATTTTGCCATCTTATTAGGTCATTATCAGCCTGAGCTGAAGGAATATTCACACAACTTTCAGAACATGTAATCATATCCTACGTTCCTGATTTTAAATAATTTAAATCTTTCTAAGTTTCTCTTCAGGAAAAGATCCATGAATACTGGCCATTTTTCCATTTTGAGAATCTAGGGTTTTTTTTATTATTTTTTCATAAATATTTAAATGCACAATACATTATGACTTCTTCAAAAACAAATGATGATATTCTCAAATCATGTAGAAAAGGAAGGAATACAAAGCAACTAGAAGACAAAATGCCTGTTGTTAAAGACAGCAAATCGATGTTTAAAAAAAATGATTCTAATTGAAAATAGAGCAATATGAGGCCATAAATAAAGGCAGCATAAAGTGTAGACATGCTAATAAGTCGATCAATTAGAATTAATGATATTATTATCTTTTTATAAGAACTTATTTATATTTCCTATGAAATACAACATCCATTTCTATTGTTCCTTTTTAACACATTTATGATAAATTTTGTGTATGGATAACAGATTATTTGTGAAAATAAAAGCTGATTATTTTGATAAAGCTTATGAGTGGCTATTGGCCTTGAACAAAGCTCAGATCGTGTAACTTTATGAGTGTTAGCGAAAAAACAGGATATTGGGGTATTTAGTTTTTTAATTTAATACAGTCAAAAGTCGTTAATTCGGAATGATCTATAATCCGGACCTCAAAACTAAAAACTTTCTGCGCATGCGCCGCGTTGAGCGCGCCTAGGCTTTACGCGTGCGCGTAAGACCGTTTACGACTGCGCATGAGTTTGCGCAAGTGCAGAATACGTTTCGCGTGCGCGTTTAGTAATGGCCGTATCACAAATTCTCTTATCTATTTCGTAATGTTGATGTTGCCTTGTGCCTAATTTTCGATTGGATCCGGCTTATCTTTTTTGCAGACTGAAGAGCAATTTTTAAAAGTAAGCTTAAACTTTCGATATATCAATAGATTTCCGATCTATTTGTTAATTTAAGGATCGAAAGCGAAAGTAGTTTGAATCGAAATCTGTTTATCAATTTCCGCTGCGCGGCGGGGGGGACCGCGCCGCGGCGGGCGTAATGAATTGGAGTTTGATTTGTCAGCACTATCCTTATCTCAGCGCAGATGTTTTTTGGCTTATAATTCCTTACCAAATGTAGATTTCATCGATGCTCCGTCATTGAATGATTTAAACATTCCTCGTATTAATTAGCGCGATAGAAGAAGTAAGAGGTTATGAAAAGAAAAATTTCGATGAACAAATTATCGGTGTTCTTGACACAGCAATTAGGACTGAACAGCGGAACTTGTAACTGACAAAAAATATGTTGTTTTATAGAATAAAGAGAAGTATATCACATGAAACGAAGCAAACTTAAACACTACATTGAAAGAAAGTTTAATAAAGTAAACACATAAATATAAGCTTTTTTTTTCCAAATTTGATACCCTTTAGTCTAATTGTTCTTATTTCATAAATTACGGTTTCATATTTTAATTTAGCATTCTGGACATTTTCGAGATTCAAATGATGATCTATAAGCCGGAAAAATCGATAATCCGGAATCGCCGAAGTCCCGACGAGTCCGGATTAACGACTTTTGACTGTATACAAAAATACTTTGTTTCTTTGCATACCACCTATTGAAATACGCTGATATAGACTATTTTGGAAGGGGCTATAATGATAACTCTATCCATATAATAAGTTACAAAATGCCTTTCATGATTTGTAGTTTTAATAATTCTAAATATTAGTAATATATTTGTTCTGTGGCAATGATTCCCAAACTGCAGTATATAGCTATATTACCAGATAAAAAGCAATGCTGCTTGTATATGATGAAAGTACATAAATAATACTCTGAATATTAATGCAGTAGTCCAAAACCTACTGCGAGTAAAATTAAATATTATGTGTTATGAGACTTTCATGTAAGATAGGTAAATTAAGAGTTTAACTAATAAATTTCACTCTAAAAGTTGTTTCCCCAAAAAGGGGAATTGTGAAAGTGTTATAATCATCCCCCTTTTTCCAGAACAATCAACTGTTTTGAATAATTTCACTGCTTAACACTGATTTTGGGTTTAATTGTAGGTGCTGAATTCCGAATCTGTATTTGTAAGATAGGTTCTAGTTTTTGAGATAAAATAGAAATAAATTTTAATAATAAAATGTATGCATGATACAAATTGGAGGGAAACTGTGATAAATGTAAATAAATAACAAAATTAAACAATGCAATAAACCAATTTAATCATAAAGAGTAATTAATCAATAAATAAGAAGATAAACAAATATTGATACAGCATACACAAGCCAAACATAAATAAGCAAGCAATAGAGAAATTGCATCAAAATGTAATTTAAAACAATTAAAAAAAATCTGAAGGGTTTCAGATTTTAAATTACGTCCAAAGGGGTGATTTTTAACGTTTTGTGTGTTACCTTTATTTATCAAATATGTTCTTTGCATTTAAACCATAAAATTCAGTTCAACAGCAATGTCGCAAAATAATTTTAAAATGAGCATGTCTTTAGAATTTCCGATACACAGTTCCACGCGCTGGAGATAAAAAGGTCCCCCTCCCCATAAGTACTGCGCAAATTTGACAAAAATTTAAAGACATAGAACAATGTGAAATTTTAAATAAGTAACAGATGAAATAACAGCGTCACATGCAAAACGAGGAAAATGAACTTTTATATTAAACTTTTATATCTCTTTTATACAAAAACAATGCGTCGAAACGTTTTCATTTCTTTCTTTGCCTGTATTGTCTTATCTTTATCTATTTTCAGATACATTATGTAAAAATATTTAGTAATTGCAAAATTATTATGATAAGTTAAAGAAATATCAAAACTGCTAAAATTTTTGGCAACCCTCTACTGTAGATCGGCACCCACAGTTTTGAGAAACCCTGTCGTAGAATGTTGCCATTACTATCTTTTAAATCGTTGAGTTTGTTAATCAAAAATTCAAATAAAGTTTTAGAAAATGTGAAATCTAAAATTTCTGCTTTCAAATGCCCATATTCGCAGTAGGATTATGTCATTCAAAATTGGATAGCTCTAGGTACCATTGTATTATCACAATGAGAGAAGACATACATACATTTATGCAGATTCTTCATTATTTAATTTCTTCAAATATAATACAGGGCGATAGTATTTGGGGGCAGCGATTTGAAAAGTGATATGCTGTTTATAGGGTACCGACAAAAAATCGCAAAACGAAAACAATAGTCCTTCAGGGAAAAAGTACCTTTGGACTAATAATGTATTGAAAAATGACAGGAAAATCAATTTAAATTAATAGTGATAGTATACCAAAAACTACACAATGTTGCAGTCAGCCATTTAAAATGAAAACAAGTAAACTGGTATAATTACTTCTTAAAAAAGCATTTCTCATGACACTTCCTCATTTGCATTAAAAGTTTTGTGTTTAAAGGTCGAGAAGTCAGCCATCATATGTTTATCCCACCTGACTTTACACCTTTATTCTATTTTTCTGATATCTTGTTGCTTTATTCCTTACTAAGATGACTCAGAT